ATCTTTAAAAATGAGGGGGTTGGCCCAGATAATTCCTAAAATCAGTTCAGCTCATATAGCCTGTGAGTCTAGAGTATCACGCTTAACTCATGAGATCTTAAATAGGGGTGAGGTATCTAAACTTGTTCGAAAATATGAAAATTTTTTTTGTACAAACATGAATTTTTCTGGGAAAAGTGTCTATAGTTTTCATCAAAATCTTAAAGGGTTCTGTAATATAGAATCTCTGGCTTCTAAGGACTTTTTCTTTTTCATATTTTGGCAGAACTGCTGGGCAATATTATTTCTCCTTTTGGGAGAGGGTATCAAGTAAGAATAGTGTGAAGAAGTTATTTGCAGTAAGGAAACAAGGGCAAAATGCAAAGATATGCAGAGCTAAAAGATGAGAGCTAAATGAGTAACCTGACAATTTTGTTTAAGCCCCTGGATCCAGCCATACCTGATACCCCAACATTTTTCAGCTACATGAACTACTGGCTCTCCCCACTATTAAGTATTTTCTATTTCAATCACTTACAGAATAAATGACTGATGTGCTAATATTATTGAAAGAGTCTCTTGCTATTTGGAAAATTATGAAACTCCACTTAGATAAGCAAAGTAGAGAAGGGAATGGGTTAGGGGAGGGGAGTTCCTCCCATGCTTTTTCTGAGTCTCCAAAGAAAAACGTTTCATGCTTTGTTCCCTGTCCTTTATTCTGTACACAAACTGGGGCTTTTAGAGGCAGAAAAGATCTTACAGTCAAACCCATCACTACACAGATAGGAAACCAAGATCCAGGGAGGGGATGTGACTTTCTCCTGGTCATACAGTAAATCAGTAGTAGGACTAGAACCCAGGTTATCTTCTCTAAGGCATGTTCCACCTGTCTGCGTGACCTTCCTCAGTGCTTCTTTTCTAGAAGGAAAAGTTATTACAGGATTACAAGTTAGCAGAGCTCGGGAGAGTTCCTGTGCCCCTGTGCATTGCTGGGCCACAGAAATTCATATCTTATCCAGAAACTTCTGCAGTCTGGATTTCTTTTCAGGTTCTGTTGGCACTGGCTAACAATGGATTGTTAGGACTGGAGATGCAGAGAGGAGGGGAAGAGGACCAGCCTATGTCTCTGTCTGGGTTACATCCTCTCTCAGGGTATTGGCCAGCGAACCCCAGCTAGGACTGAGGTTCTAGGGATTAGGGCTAGGCCAGACATTGCCCAGTGTCATTTGGAGCAGGAAGAATTAGATGCTGCTACGGGTCAAAAGCAGGTAAGTAGGATTTTACGGAGCAAGTCCAGGGGTTCACTTTCAGCCACAAAGTCAGATTTGTTTAGCTGTGGAGGGCAGTAATGACAAGGCAGAAATGGGGCCAAGGCGATCCAGCTCACCTGTTGCTCAGGACCAGCAGGAGGGCCCGGCTGCAGCTTCGTGAGAGCGGGCCTTCCTCCGGTGGTGGGGGCTGGAGGGCACAGGGAAGGGGAGCATCGAAGGAGCCTAAGAGCAAGGACGGGGTCAAACCCGAAGGGGAGGGAGAAGGAAACTCGAGGTCCGGCCGGCCACCCCATTCACAAACTACTCAAAGCCGTACAGGAGAAATGACCTTTAATGTCTGACTTTGTTTCCAACCCCACCAAAGTGCGGTCATTCAGTGAAGTACAAGGAGGGGCTTGAGAGGTACGAAGTCACGAGACAAACAACGTCCCCGGCTGCCTCCTGGGCACACGCTCGCTCTGCCCCGCGGGGGGCGCCACGCACGCACACATGCAGACCACGCGTACAGCGCACAGACACACGCACGTGTACCCACGGTTAAATACAGGTAGAGAGGGACTCGTTTATATACATACAGAGAGAGGAGGAGAGAGAGAGGTAAGGCCCGGCCGGATCGGGTCCGCAGGCTCTCAGCATGCTCGGCGGCCCAGCTCTCCGCGCTGTACCTGGCACCCATGCCCCTGCCAGAGAAGCAGCTGCCCCTCTCCCGCCCTCCCCCGTTCCCCGTGGGGCCCGTGTCTCCCGCCCGCTCGCCCCCCACGATGATTCCCTCCCCCGGGAAGGGAA